AACATTACTTACTTAACACCCACCATTCAAAAATCACAACAGTTGAAATTATTGAATGTATAGAATAAAAAGAATAGTTGACCACTAATAATTATATGAGCGAACGAAAAAAATAATCCATACCTGTTTATCTTTTAAACCTAATAAAAGAACTTCTTCCATGAGTGTTAAATTGGGTTGTTTCTTGTCTTCATCGTCAAGTATTTCATTAGGATCAACTGCAATCCTAACACCACTTGAAAGGGTTCGATCTTGTGTTGTCGGCATATTATTCTCGTTCGAGGAAGAATTTGAATTAAGAGCTCCAGCATTTCGTCTTCTTTGTAATCCACTTGCTGAAGCTGAAGACAGAGACATGTTATAATTTAAAACACCCTTTTGAATTTGGCAATAGTTCATTTGTTAACTGATAGTTAAAAATCGAATCGGTGTTTGTTACTCAAGAAAATCAGGGTCCAATACTAATCTGGTATCAAGTGCCAAATCCGACCCAAATTTTTGGTCGGTCATCGGTTACCAACAAATAATGTTCGGAGCAGACCTTTGAATTTATTAGCCAATTTTTTATAAAAAACAATTTTTAATCATGTGTTATATTAAACATATAACTGTAGAATTCGAACTTTTAAACAAATATTGTATTTCACGTGATGTTATATTGAAACAATCACTTTGTTTGAAAAGGATAAAACCCATTTCATATTAAATGATTACATAAGGATTCATCATAATTTTTACAATTGTTCACTTTGCAAACGATGTGACACTTGTCCTATAGGTTCCAAACTCGATCAGTTCACTATAGGCGATGATGTTTATTACCCTTACCTGTTATCAGAGAGGTATTTTGGACGAAGCGAACTTACGCCTTATGGTGGTATAATATCATCACAATTAGGAGATAAGTAGTAACTTTGTAAATTACTCGAATAATAAAGGCTTATTCGTAATATAATATAAGTATACATTATCAAAATGGGCGTCGGACTTTTTTTCCTCGATGATAAAAAAATATTGAAATTAGTTGTACGCTCCCCTGACACGGGTCATGGGAAAGCTTTTTATAAAATTTTATTCAACAAATTAATTTTTATTTACATTAATTAATATCGTATCGTGTAGGATAGATATCCTTTGATTTTAACTATAGCTTGAACACATCGCATCATAATTTTGATAAATTGATGCATCTAATTTAACCCATTCCTCTTGCAACAATTTAAATAATTCAGTCTCATTTTTTGGCAAAGAAATATGCTTACGGATATGACGTTCTAATTCATCCCAAATATTTTCAAATAGAATTAAGGTCAGGACTCTAATAAGTTGGTTGATATTTTTTGTGAAATCCAGTAGTTGCTCGATGAATAAAAGCATTATCTTGAAATATATAATTATTTTGATTAACCAATCCTTCTTAATAAGGTAGTAAATAATTATTTAAGTATTGGAATTGTTTCAAAAATCGAAAGTCTAATCGATTAATCAACTGCTAAAAATGATTTTTGATTCTAAGTTTTGAAAAAAATCGGCAAAGCCGATATTAGTTTTTTAATTTTTTTAAATATAAAACTTAATAAAATAATCTTAAGCCAAAGTTTTAAAATAATCTTTATTTAATAGAAAAATAAAAGCCAAATATGGTCCGGTGCAAAAAGGTTGATACACCAATATGTCTAATAAAAAAAAAATTTTTTTAAATTAATATAAATGTTTAAATTATTTAATGTATAGTTTAGGTTTTAAGATATATTCAATATAAATTTTATTAAAATTTTAAGTATACAAAAAATTTTACTAGTCATCAATTTCTTCAATTTCAAAATCTTCATAATTACTTTTAACCAACAACATATCATCAATATCATCACCTACATGTATATCTCGATATTCTATGACCTTATTAAGACATTTATTCCAAAATCCAACAATAACTTTGAAGTTAATATCTTCTTTAAAAGCATGTAATAATTTGTCTCTAATAGCAAAAAGATTAGGATGGGGACCAGTTCTAGCAATCACACCTTTTACATTGACCAAACTCCCTCAATTGGTTGAAGTTCACAATGGTA